TTTTCTAAAGCGACGTACCCTATACGTCACTGTGACTGTTGAGCAATGTAGTGCCCATGCACTACACAAAGGCTCGCGAGGCCCCCGGGCGTTTCCTTCTATGGGCTGATCGTAAGACAGAAGAAGACAAGTAGTGTGAATATATCATGAAAATAAAGTTTATTGATTCAATATGGTGCAGCTTTTTTTTTTATACAGAGCGCCGCGAGGAGGCTGTGCCCGAGACGGAGGACCAGCCGCTTGATCCCGGCGACAGGGCGATGCTGAACTGCTAGAATATTTTTTTGAATTGAAACTTTTTAAGTGTATTTTATAATTATGAATAAGTATAAAGGTCAAAACACACCAGAAAAACACAAACAAAGGACCCCATATACAGGGCTGAACCCTCATCTACTGCAGGCGCTGCTCAGCCCATAGAACTGTTCCCCACAAACATACCGAGGCAGAGGTACTCAGCAAGCGGCAAGAAATTCATCTTTTGAAGCAGCTTTCGGGGTTTATGCTAGAAACTACATCGAGTATACTTGGGTCTAATTGTTTTTGGGTTTATGCAGCAAAGTCANGGGGTTTATGCTAGAAACTACATCGAGTATACTTGGGTCTAATTGTTTTTGGGTTTATGCAGCAAAGTCACTGCAAGCAGCCTACTGTGCCCGCCGGGCAACGACGCTCCATATACCTGTGTGGGTCGGGATACGCGCTGCAGCTGCACGCCCGCGAGTGTGCAGTGTGTGACATGAGGAAGTTTGTGTATTTCTTGTTAAGTTTATTGTTTCGGGGTATTCAATTGAATATATAAACGCGCATTGGTGTTGTGGTGTCTTCGTCGCGCTCTGCACACGCAGCGCCGCCTGCTGCCCTGCTACTAGTACTGTCTGCCTCAGTCAATCAGGCAATCGGGAGCCTTCTGTTTCCTGCATGGGCTTCAGTGCATTCATTTGCCTTGTTTTTCGATATATACACCTCAACTTTAGTCCTTTTATCCACTTTTTTAGGGATTTAATCCCCTAGAAGGACCACTGCGACACACAGCTGCTCACCACCCAGGCAGCCGGGCCGCCCCCTCGCGAGGCTTCTTTCTTCTGCTTCTGCTTTTGGCACTGAAGCTCTCCCTATATCGTAAGCGTTTTTATAAAGCAATGTTTCTGATTATCTCTGGAACTGGGTAGTGTGCAGCACACTGTATGTTTGTCCTCCTCCTGTGGCGTTGGCTGCCGCCATCTCTAGCCGCGTGGCAGCGCCAGCGCGAAGGACACAAGTACCCATTTGTTCTGTGTGCCTTTGCTGCGACTTAGTTTCATTAAACTCAGCATAAGCAGATACAGCTCAGAAGGAAGGGAGGACGGAACCCTGGGGCTGGCAGGTTGGTGCATGGAGAGTGCGGCGAGGACCCCTGTGGGCGCCGGCGCCTCCCCGGTTCATACAAAAGCAGAGATACGAGAGCTGTGTTCTTCACACGGTTTCTGGGGCAGCACACCCCATACAACTTTCCTGTGCCGCTCCTCTTGCTGCGATGCTTCTCGCGCCGCTGCGGCGACGCGTTTCAAGGTATCAGTTGTACCGGAATCAGCGAGCTGGCTCGCTCGATCCGAGGCTGCGTGGCTAGCTGGCTAGTTAGCAAGCTGGCTAGCTGGCGCCCCCAACAACCGTGGGTGTGAGGGCGCTGCGAGATGGCAGCGCCAATTGGGGCTGCCGCTGCATGCATTCGCGCGGAAGATGCGACCTGAGAGCCACGGAGCGGAGGGGCCCTCCCCAGGTTACGATGCAGCTCCATCGGGGGGTGGGGGGCCCCCGGGGGGCGACATGAGCAGCAGCAGCAGCACCAGCAGCACGGGCGGCAGCAAGACCTCCCCGTTGCTTTCCACAGTGGGCAGTGGTGTATGGGGGGCCCCCGCGCTGCCGACGGCGCCGCTGCTGGGTACCGAGCGCACTCTGCTGAATGCTAAGAAGGAGAGGCTGTCTCGCGGCACCCGCCTGTTGATGCCGTACTGGGCGGTGCGCCAGGTGGTCATCAACCCCGTCACTGAGGAGGAGACGTGCACCCCCGCCCCCGTCGCAGCCCCAGGCGGCTGCATGCAGTTCGTGAGTCTTCACTCGTCAA